AGTTGGAGAATCTGGATGGGATGATGTCATGGACATATGGGATGTTAAGGTCATGGTGTAGGGTCTTGTTCGTGACATAATATGGAGCATTGACTATTGTTCGAAGGACTTTGGACTGGAAGGATTGGATGCGTTTGATATTCGATGATTTAGTTGTCCCCCACAGTTCAAGTCCGTAGGTCCAGATAGGTTTCAGTATGGTCTTGTAGATTAATAATTTGTTTTCTGTTGAGAGATGAGATGTTCTGTTTAGTAGTCTATATAGCTGACCAAATCGTCGGTTAAGCTCTTGTATTTTAAGTCTGGTATGTGGGTTCCAAGTCAGTCTTTTGTCCAAAAGAAAGCCAAGGTATCGGACTGTGTCTGAGTAGGGAAGAGGAATTGAATTAAAAAGGATTGGCGGACAGGATCTGCGTCGAAGAGTGAAAGTTACATGCTTGCATTTTGATTCATTAATTTTGATGCGCCAGTTGTTGCACCACTGCTCAATGAAGGAAAGGTGTCTTTGCAGGTTCTGAGACGCTATTAGAGGATCCGAGTGAGAGGATAGGATGGCAGTATCATCAGCAAATGTTGCTAGGAATGTATCAGGACTTGAAGGGATGTCAGCGGTGAAAAGGATGTAGAGAACTGGGCCCAAGACACTGCCTTGTGGAACACCAGCCTCAATTGGATAATGTTTGGAGAGTTCAGTGCCGCAGCGGACTTGAAAGGAGCGAATTGAAAGGTAGGATTTGAGGAATAGGTACAAGGGTTGAGGTAAATGGGTTTTGAGTTTGAAAAGCAAGCCATCGTGCCACACCCGGTCGAAAGCTTGAGCTACGTCCAGAAAGGCACCAGTGCAATATTGCTTGTTTTCAAGTGCAGAGGATATGTGGTCGACAACGCGAAGGCCTTGTTGGACAGTGGAGTGTCTTGAGCGGAATCCAAACTGATGGGAAGGGATATTGTGGGATTCGAGTATGGGTAGGATGCGTTTGAGAAGGATTTTCTCAAAGATTTTGGAAAGGATCGGAAGTAAGCTTATCGGTCTATAGGATGATGTACAATTAACAGGTTTACCTGGTTTTTGTTTTACTTGCTTGGAATAATAGTTATATGATTTCCGATCATCAGGATGCCTGGTTCTTTGCCAGATAGCCCTAGAGCATCGTTTTCTATTAATAAGGTCCAGTAGGTCTTGGGGTAGAGGATTTGTTTTGCGGTATTTTTTAGAAGGATCAGGTGAAGATGCAGTCCAAACTGCTTGTTGGATCAACGTAGTCATGGAATGTACTGCTTCATCTAGGTCTGTAGGTGTTTTTAAGGAAACTCTGAGGTCAATCATCCAGCATTTGACGGAAGAGGTTCCAATTAACTGGCCCCCTGATAAATGAAGGTGGAGGTGGTTTGGGAATTGGTGATGTGGAAACCGTTAGGATTAGGGGACTATGGTCTGAGGAGAGATCATCAAGTCTTGAGATGCAATAATTAAGGGACCCTAGACCTTTGTGGATGAAAAAATCTAGGAGATCGGGATTGCGGTTAGGATCTGTTGGCCAGTATGTGGGAGAATTGGGTGAGAGGATGTTGCTGTTATGGGAATTAAGTGCAGCTAGCAATGTTCGTCCTCGGGAATTTGTGGTTCTGGCTCCCCATTGCTGGTGTTTAGCATTTAAGTCTGCACCTAGAAGGAAGTGGTGTCCTAAGGAGTTAAGGAAGGAAGTTAATTGGGATTCTGAGATGGGTATTTTAGGCGGGGAGTATGCTGCGACTACTTCTATTGGGTAAAGGGAAGTTTGGATTATCACGGCAGTGGATTGTAGGAAATTATGGGTTGGCAAAGGGAATAGATGATGGGAAACGGATCTATGGATAATTATGGCAGTGCCACCATGTGCTGTTCCATCAGGATGGTCGGTTCGATAAATATTGTAGCCGGGAACGTTGATTTGTCGTTTGTTGGTTAGTCGTGTTTCAGTTATTAGTGCTATGTCGATGTTTTTGTCATGTAATAAGATTGTCAGTTCGTTGATGTGGTTCCGAATACCATTCGCATTCCAAAGGAGAATGGAGAGGAATTTGGTTGATGACATTTATGGATTTCTTGGCAGTGGAATGAGGTTGGATATAACATTGGTAAGTAGCGAAATAAGAGGGGTAATGAGAGATCTAAATTCGGAAAGGAAAGATGTCAGTAGGCTTGTGAGGTTAGTGGGAATTGGAAGGAGGAGGAATGAATGTATGAGTATTTAACCTACGTTCGGGGATGGAGGGATATGGGTCTTGAGGTTGATGTGTGAATTCTTGAGGTTTAGGTTCTTGTGGCAGGGCCTGAGATTGAGAGTTTACAGTGTCTCCTTTGAACATCTGAGCATAGGAAACTCTTCCATTCACTGGTCTAGAGGGTTGTCTTGCTGGCCTGGATGTCTTTTCTTCTCTAGGAGTTGCGTACATTCTTGTTTTTAATTGTTTATATTTGACAACGCTTATAGTTGGCAGGGTGCCCTTGGTGGCGTGAAGCGCATACTGCAGATGATTTTTTAGACTTCTTGCAGTACTCTGTTTTGTGCTGCTCACCACACCTCAGACATCTAGGAATGTGATGGCAGTACCGTTTTGTATGGCCATAAGTCTTGAAGTTATGACATTGAACAATGTCGCGCTTGGTGTAAGGCATTTCTACAACAACGCTAGTGTAATAAAGGCGTGTGCCCTTGTAGATGTCTTCGACCTGGGGCGTTCGGTCAAGGTCAACGAAGAATAGTGGAAGCGGTATTTTATTTTTTATGCCAGGCTGTTCTCTATCTTGCTTGAATATGTTCACTATTTGGCGAACGTGGAATCCCATACCCATGAGCTCTTCTTTTATAGCATCCGTTGGCGTTGATATGTGCAGTCTTCTGATAACGACCCTGAGCGCCCTCTCTTGGCGCAGTTGATATGTGTGATAATCAGCCTTGGTGTCAGATAAATAACGTATACTTTTTCAATAGGTTTCTGGAGTGTCGGGCATTAATTTAGTTTCATTGGTGCGGCTTTGTCATAAATATTCTCCTGAGCCCACTAGGTTATTCAATTGGTGACACATTAACTGAAAGTTTTTAATATTCCTAACGAATATTGGTAGGGGTTCTCTGGGTTCTCTGGGGGTAGATGCTGCTTCCATTTGTTCGTTTTGTGTATTTGATAGCACTTGAAATGGGTTATGAGTGAAAAACGGTGATTCTTCACCAGCCTGAGTTGTCTCATTATTGTTATTTTGTTGTGAGGTGCCAGGTTGGGGTTCCACTTCTTTAACAGAGCTCCCTGGTGTGGCTGGTGGGGTGTTTCTTTTCGAACGCCTTTTTTTAATAAGAGAACTCCTTGTAGTAAGTAATGTAAATGGCCGGCCGTTATCAATAACTAACCTGAGGTCTATTTACACTGTTCACTATTGAACTGTAAATAAGTGATTACTCACCTTATTCTTTTGTTCAGTATCAAACTTTATTGTTAATGTAACTGATAACACTATTTTTTCACATTTAACTTGAACACTGCCACTATTAATAGAGAATTTTATAAGAGATGACCTGACGTATGTTTAGCTAAGGCTAACACATGCGCAGAACTGACAAAAGGAACTACTAAGGAAAATGCAAATATGAACAAAAAAAAAATACTAAGAGAAAAAATATATAAAAATTAAATAGTTCTTATTAATAACTATTGATAAGCAACTGTAGTTGAATAACCTAAAATTAATTCAAGCTTGCGGAAGTTTGAATGTGTAGTAGGTAATGGAATAGATGTTTTTGGATATAGATGTGGATGTCTGTTGACGTATGGAGACGGGTAAAAAGTTTCAAAAGGAGGTGGCACGAATGACGAAGGATTTGCTGAAGAAAGTAGTTTTATAGGGGAGAGGGAGGGGGTAGGGTACATAAATCTAAAGGTAGAGATCTGGTATTAAGAGAGTGGATAGAGAAACGTAGAGTAAGGAGTTTTAGGATGTATGAAGGATTTTTGGTTCTGAGGACTTGGAAAAGGAAAACACCAAGAATAAACTGTCATCGGCAGGGGTGCCCATCCTCCCAATGTCGATGGTGCAAAAATCTAACCCTTCTCCCCTCTTCCCATGATATTTTATTGCTCACCTTTTCTGAAAAGCAAAGCAAGCTAAGGTGGAATTAGAAAAATCGTAGATCATATACAATTACACTTGCTGCGGGATGTTCCATGTTTTCCCTTTGTCCCTTCGTCTTAATTCATTACATCGTCGAAATTATCTCCCCTCAAAAATATTTTATAAAACGTCAAAATATGCCCCCCCTCCTAAAATATTTTGAGGGAGCAACTTGCGCCATTAAACCCCCTTCTGGGCACCTCTGCTCATCGGGAAGCATGATAGAGCCACTTCAACTCGGTGTACACTGTAACGACTGGGAATGTCAAAGAAGAATCCTATGAAGTAATGAACGAGCCAGGGTTAGTACAGGTATTCCCACGAACATTCCTTTTTGTTAATTGTTTTTAGTTTACATATGTTAATCGTTGAACAAACTTGAACAAAAAATTTGTGTACATCAAATTATTGGAGAGAATGATATTCTCACTCCCTTCTATTATCATTGAGGGGGAGCTCGTCCCTTCTAAGTCTGCGCTTGGGATATACAGGTGCTTAATGCATTTCAGGCATGGGGAAGATACCTAATAGCACCTTCTTCCCATCTTGATTAAGGCCTCTCATCCAGTCCCAGTTAATTTTAATTGGTTATGAATAGGAATTATTGTATATCCTCTATGTTCATGATATTATAATATATCCTACAGCACATTCGCTAGTTTTTTTTTTCATTTCTTATGAATTTATTAACTAAAGTTTAAAATAATATCATGCCATCATGATATTATAATAGATTCTACAGCACATTCACTAGTTTTTTTTTTAGTTTTTATTTGTTATGAATTTATTATATAAAGTTTAAAAAAATAATTGTTTTCATTAAAGAAATTATTGTTAAATCTTACCATTGCAGATTTGTAATCAGAGGGTTCAAGAAATACAGGATCTTCGAGTAAACATGAGAAAAGAAATAATAAAAGTTATTGCACTAGAACTGAAGGAGTTCAAATTCTTTGAAATTAAGTTAATTTGCGTTGATCAGTTGGAGTTGGTTGCTGATGGTAAGATACATATTAAAATTACTAAACACCTAGATTTTTAATATCAACCTATACTAAAAGTTAAATTGTATTTTGAACTTATATCTGCATTTGGTTTTGTATTTGGTAAAATTCTGTTACATATTACTTTAATTTGTATGACGCCTCCCTCGGAGAGAAGGACAAAGTATACCAAAAGCCAACCTCTGCATTTTAAGGAAATGAATACTGTCCTAAAGCAACCATCACGAGATTATCAGATTATCTGGAAAACGCTTACGGATAACACGTGACGAATAACCACACGAAGAACGGGCGTCACAATATTGTCACTGTATAGACCGTTGTTTCGATGCAGCCAGCGGCCATTGTTCGCATTCTTTACAATGTTACCAAGTGAAGCAAGATGTATTACCTACATCTGAGAAATAGAACTGTTTTAGCACTTGACCACAATAAGCACTTATGTGAAACAGAACGTGTTGGCAGAAACAGAAAAGAACCTCATTCCGTGTTCGACAATTTTAGAATATTTGAGACCCGAACAGGCAAAATGAATTAATTAGAGCTAATCATGAAGGGGAAACATTGAAAAATCCTCGAAACCACCACCGCATTGAGCCGCAAATTATACTCGCGATTCGATTCGCTTCGCGAGGTTCTGAAAGTATAAATGATGTGACTTCCTGCACCCCATTGCTGTCCTCCAAAAAGAATCCCATATTACGAATTCACAGTTATTAGACTTTCAGATTAATATCATTACTTGGGAAGGGTGGCATTGGCTCACGGTCCAGGACAACTGCAGTAACTTAGCTGTAGCATATCCTTTGCCGAGCAATCCTTTCTGGGATGGCACGGGTAGCTTGATGTTATACTAATAGGGTACCTCACTGTACCTCGCAAACGCTGGGAGGGAATTCCGAAATACCTGTATCACTGTGGCTTATATAAATATTTCAACTTCCCGTTGGACTTTGTTACCCCTCTACAACATCTTATGGGAATATCTTCTTCTTCTTCTTTGTCTACCTCTGATGCCATTACTACCGTCGAGGAGCCTCGATCCCACGTAGCCACGTCTAACGGTCCCGGCCAAGCTGCCTCATCTCTTGAGTTTTCCCTCTCTTCCCTCTAATCTGCAGCATGTACTCCAGGTAGGAAATTCTGGGTCGGCCTCGCGCTCTCCTTCCAGTGTGTCGAGCTTCCATTACTTCCGAGGTTTTCTTTCATCATCCATCCGACAAACGTATAAACCACTAAATAAACCACTTCAGTTGTTGTCGATTTTCAAGCATTGTCTTAAGCTCTACTACCTCCAGTTCCTTCCGTATCCGTTCATTCCTGAAACAGTCCCTCCTGGTCTTTCCAACGGCCCTCCGCAGGAACTTCATCTCAGCACTCGTTACCCGGCTGGCCTGCTTCTCCAGCATAACCCAACTTTCACTTCCGTAAGTCAGGGTTGGTACGTATACAGACTTGAATATATGCCTCTTTGTTTCATTACTAACGTCTCTGTGTCCCACAATGGTGTTACAGATAAGATAATAAATCTGGTTGGCTTTGCGAATCCTATTTACTACTTCTGGGTCAATCATCCCCGTATTACTTATGACTGTCCCCAAATAGGTAAATTCCTGCACAACCTCAAGTACCTCACCATTACATATCAGCTAGACATCTTCTTATTACTCTCTTGAAAGAAGTAATATCTTGCTCTTAGGTGTGTTGATTGTCATTCCTTTGCGAAGGAGCTCTTCCTGCCATTCCACAAGGGCTTGTTGCAGTTTGTCTTTCGTATCTGCAATCAGTACGATGCCACCGTACGATGCATACAATAAGCTTTGAACCATAACATTCCTCATATTCCATTTAGCGATGACCGTCCAAGCAGTACAGCGCTTACAAATTTTATGGATTTCGTCATTAATATGATGAATAAGAGGGGACTGAGGCTGTCTCCCTGTCCCACACCTCTTCCTATGGGAAAAGGTTTGGACTCTCCATTGATCCTCACAACTCCTTTTGCTTCCTGATAAACCGATGTAGTAGTTGTTATAAGATCTCCTGGAACATTTTTTGCTTTCAAAGCATCCCATATTTCTTTTCTGGGGACGGAGTCGAACGCTGCTTTCAGATCTAAGAATGCCATATATATGTTCTTATCTGTGTCCCAAGGTTTCTCAGCGATGCTTCTCAGTATGAAGATGTGGAATTTCTTGAGTCTGCCTCCCTGCACGAAAGCCTGCTTGTTCTTCTTCTATTTGGTTCTCGACTGCGGTCCTTAGTCTCCTTTCTAGGATTGAGGTGTATAGTTTGTAAGCCACCGAAAGTAAGCTTATTGGCCTGTAATTTTCGCAGTCAGTGGAGCTACCTTTCTTGCTTATAGGAAAGATGATACATAACTCCCAATCTCTTGGAATGACGTTCGTGTACCATATATTTTGGAGGAGTTGTTGGAGAAATTTAATAAGCTCTTGGCCTCTAAATTTTAATAATTCTGCAGCTATACTGTCCCTTCATGCTCCTTGACCTATTTTAATTTTTTCGATGGCATACTCTACCTCATATTCCTCAATAGCATCGGAATCCTCCAGACTATAATTTTCTACAGCATGCTCTCCTGGGTCATTAGGCCCTTTTGAAAATTTCCCTCGATAAAACTCCTTCCACCGCTCAAAATTTTTACATGTTCTGTTACTGTTTTAGTCTTTAACATTTTTAACTGGCTTACTTCTTTTCCCTCTAGATGTTTTTACTTTGGACCAGATTTTTTTAATACTCTCTCTATGGTCTTCATCGAGGCTTTTTACAAACTTCTCCCATGCAGCTCTATTTGCTTGGCGGATCACTCCTTTGCATAGATTTCTGGCCAAATGGTATTTGTTCCGTTTTTCTTCCGTTCTGTCTCGGAGGTGGTTTTTCCATGTCTTTGTCTTTAATTGGACGACGTGGCGCACTTCTTCATTCTACCATTCGGTGCGCTTCTGTTTGTTTGATATTTTGCGCATACCACAAACTTCTCTTGCCACTTCTAAGATACAGGTCTTGAAACGGCACCATTGATGTTCCACATCATCCTCCAGACTCAATTCCCTTAATTTACTTTCAAGTTTTTCGTTGTAGGAGAATTTCTTTACGTTATTGTCTAGAGCTCGTATATTTAAAGTTCGGTAGCTCTTTTCTTTAATGAGTCGTCTCTGCGGAATTTTAGTATCGGCTATTAATAACAGATGGTCGCTGCCGATTTCTGCACCTCTTATCACTTTAATGTCGGCAAAATACTGTGTATGGGAATATTTTCGATTGTTAGAATTATATAAAAGATCGGGAGCAAACTCGGCAATGCTTCGAGTGGTGCTAGCTTACAACGCCATCCATTCTGTTGCAGGTTACGCTGGTGTAATTGTTATTCTGTCATCCACCACCCAATCGGAGGGAATTACTCACCACTGCATGCACACATCTACGAGACGCTGTACTCTACAAATTAAAAAACAACCCGCCGACATATCCTAATGAGTGCTTAACAATCTCTATAGGGAAAAAACTTTCAATGAAAAACCGGACCTACTTGTCGGCACCGGCCTAGATTTCTATAGACATGAAGATATACTGGCAACTACCGTCGAGTTCTCGAAAGGAGGATCGACGATATAAAGGGCCCTTCAAAGTGGTTGAATAATAGTTTATATTCAGAAACTCACTAACCCACATGTGTGTTATGGCGTTATGGTGTGTGTGGCGTTATGAAGTAATTGTGGCATATTTTATAATTGTCTGCAATCGTTATTTTTAACACTTTTTATATCTATTACTGCTTTTAATTTTTATTTATATTTATTTGCTTTCTGTAACTTGTATATAAAACATTTACATTATTTGAATAGTCATAGCATTTACTTTGAGCTCTATTTTTGTGCTCTAATTTTCTTTCTCCCTAATTTTCTATATATTGATAAATAGATAGAAAATTTTGTATAAGTGTGTGTGTATATATAGTTGTTTTTTTTTTTTAGATATGGAAAAAAGGCTGCTTGAAAGCTTTTACGTTATAGCAAGCGAATCTAAAGTACCTATACTTATCGCTGTGATGACCTCATTTAAACAACAACTGCTGCTGAGAGCACAAGGATTCACGCAAGCGTTTGCAGCTAATTATGAAGATTTAACAAAATGTGATTACGTCTTATTTCCCTCAAAGGAACCAGATACTTCCGTTATGGGATTCTATAAGTTTCTGGAAGGAGAGTATCGGTCTGCTTATGAAGAATCATTGTTGCCTAAGCGGCAACCATCAGATGATTTACCAGTTGAATCATTTAGTGAAGATTCTTTAACAGACCCTGATGAGGAACCTATCAGAATGATCAAACTTTATTTGTCCGAAAGTGATGTTGACTCAGAGGAGGAATGGTCAACGAGTGAGGAAGCAGAAATTGAGGAAGCAGATATTGAGGAAGCAGAGAGTGAAGAAGACGAGAGCTATAAAAATATACAACGATTAATTGATGAATACCATGAAGAACACCAAACGGAGATAGAAGAAGAGGAAACACTTGGCGAATTATCAGAATTTTCAGGTCTGACTGATCCTTCCGAAGAAGTTTTTAGTGAATAAATATTTACGGATTTTAGACAGTTTTTTTTTTTTTATTATTTTTTAATAAATAGCTTTAATAATATTCATTTATTTATATATTGTAAACAAAATTGGCAACACTATAAAGCCATTGATGGCCTACTTAAAGAAGAATGAGAGAACTGAATAAAGACAAGGTGTGGGCACTGCGGTTAATTTACAGTTAAGATATAGAAGTATTGGTTAATGTATTATTTTACATAATTATGTTAACATCCTTTGGTATTAAATGGGTAATGAATCTCCATTAATATTAAAAAAAAGATTTTTCTGTTTGCACTTTAAAATAAACACTATAACTTAAAATAGAATATGATTGGTGATGAATTTTAATTTTAATTGAATACATCAGTTTCGTTTTTAGATTCAGCACTAATTTTCTCATCTTTGCCAACTTCCGGATTACTAATCTCGTATGTATTGGAAAGCGATTACATCATATATCTATTGCTTAAGATGAATTTCACTAATTGCTACTTTACTTCTTTTCATATAATGATTGATGACTTAATGGCTGTACTCGAGGGAATACCCGGAATATCTGCTCTACTGTTCGCTGATGATCTACTAGTATATGCGACTAGTAGCAACATAACAGCACTCGAAGCAGCAATTAATGAGGCAATGGCAAGACTTTTTACCTGGGCCAAGTGTAATGAAATGGAAGTAAATACGCAGAAAACTGAATTCCAACTGTTCACCTTATCAACAAAAGGGTGCGAGCTGGAAATAATCTACAATAATGTTCCTTTACCAAGAACCTATGCAGGCAAATATCTTGGAGTTAGGTTAGATACAAAAATGATCTGGAACAGACAAATTGAAGAGATGGTGGAAAAGGGGGAAAACAGGCTAAAACTTCTGAAACGCCTTGGAGGAAAAACATGGGGGGCCACCCAGGATGTGATGGGTCTTGCATATAAAACCTATGTACGCCCAGTACTGGAATACGGTTCTGAAGTCATCTGTACTGCGGCTGATGCATCCCTGAAAAGATTAGACGACCAGCAGAACAAAGCTCTGCGTTTGATTTTGGGTGCACCGCGCTCAACCCCTGTTGTAGCTATGGAAATGCAGACCACAGTAGAACCTCTATCGAAACGGCGTGAGCGAGCTGCAATGTGCCTTCACGAGCGAATGAAAAGAACAGACCAAGAGTTTTGGAAAAAATACAAAATCCCCTCTCAACGGCTCAAGACACAAAAATCCTTCATGCTGAAGGCGATGGCACTACTTGAAGAAAGAGGGCTTGACTGCGAAGAAAGGGAACCATTTATACATCCACAGTTACCAATTCACAATCACGCATGCAATGCAGAACTGCAACTCCTTCATAAGGTGGATAAGAAAAAAACACCTGAATACGAGCTAAAAGCATTAGCATTAGAAACCATAGCTCAAAAGTACCCTCCTCAAGATTGGTTCCATATCTATACCGACGGATCAGCTGAATCAGCCGTTAAAAATGCTGGAGCAGGGGTTTACTCAAGGGAATTCCAAATCAGCGCTGCGGTGGGAAAAGATGGAACAAATTTCGACGGTGAGATAGCGGCGATCCTCATAGCCTTAAGAACATTGTCTAGAAGACGGGATCAGAGCGCTGTTCTCTTCATCGACTCCCAAGCAGCCATCCTTGCTGTCACAAGCACAAATGAATGTTTATCGAGTGCTATATTGGAATGTGAATCCCTCCTCTCTAACCTGACACGCCGAGGCACCAATGTGGTCCTACAGTGGATCCCCAGCCATTGTGGGATTCCGGGTAACGTTGAGGCTGATATACTTGCCAAGCGAGGAACAGATTTGCCTCAGCCGATACATCCAAAACCTTACGACTCTATACGGCGAATGGTGAAGATGGTAGTGAAGGAGGAAATAAGAAAAGTACATTTCGGCAAAGTGGAAGGGAAGCGTTACGAGTGGTTGAAGGATAACCTGATCCCAGCTGAGCTGCCGAGAAGAGATGCAGTTGCCTGCTTCCGCCTGGCCACTGGTCACGACTATCTGCAGAGTCATCTCTACAAGATAGGCGTCGCTGAGGATCCTAGTTGTAAATTGTGTCATCTAGGAACATTGGATGCAGACCATCTAGACGCATGTCCTGCCTTGAGGGACATAAGCGACAAAAAATTTTCAAATATACATATCAGAAAATCTAAATTATACTGGGCAGCAAGATGTCGGATGGCCAAATGACCAACGAATGGCATAAGAAAAAAAAAAAAAAAAAAACTTTACTTCTTCGACCTCCACTTCTTGGACTAAGTTTTTATATTTAATTCTGCGCAGGTTTAATTACTACTATTGTGATTGGTACAAGCCATGGAGGCATGAAATCACCGTTTGTAGTCCGACGTGGGCAATTAAATAACTTTTCGTGTGGCGTACAGTTAATTGAAGTGCACAATAAAGAACGCAAAAAATGAAGGACCTATTTTGCTCAGTTTTGTGTGAGATCGCCATGGAGGAGGTACTACTCTGGTCGATTTTCGCGATGTGTATTGTTAAAAAAAAAAGATTGGAACATCTCAGAAGTACCCGGCGTTCAAAGTGGTCGCGGAAGTGGCTTCTAAAAAGGCAGCACTTTTCCTATATCAAATTATTGCGTGAATTACGTGATGAACCTTATGATTGGCGGAACTACTTGCGAATGAACATTGACACATATACTTATTTATTATTATTTATTACCAGAGAGATGGCTTGTATATTTCGTCTTCTCCAGCCCCAGATCGAATCGATTTATTTATTTTAGCTAATTCTTTTCGGTACACGCTTCTCAATGAATTTATTTTTTTCACAACTGTCTCCCGGTTTGCCGTTACATCAATTTCTCTAAATTTATTAGCTAAAATTTCATACGCCTCCGCCTTCTTATCCCTGTCACTGTATTCTTTTGATTTTACACGCCAAATGCACGGGAGAATTTCATACAGAGCAATAAAATCAGTTAAAAACTCTCTAGAACATTGCCGAAGGTCAGCCATTGTCGCCCGACGGATTGAAACTGAGTAGCAAAACGGATCCGAAAACGGTGCTACCGTCCACATGCGCCGATTTGCCTGCGCAGTTCAAGGAAATCTGAGCTGTCTGGCTCAGTTTTACTACGACTGTACCGTCTTCCAAATGGATTCAAAACTGCACTGTTTTCCAGTCCACACGCAACGTTTTATCTGCAACGTTTTGAACTGCGCAGACAAAACGTTGTGCAAAACGGAGCGTGTGGACCGGCCTTAAGAGTTTAACAATTTCTTGAGTTAGAAACAATGGCCCTCTATCTGAATGAGTGCAGTTTGATATGTCAAATTTTGAAAAATCAGGGAATGATATTGTTTCACAGCTACTGATGTAATATCATGAAAGGAGAAATCGATTGGGAAACGGGCGTCTGATTTACATCCTGTCAAATTGCATTACATTATTTATTTTATATTTTATATAATATATCATAATTCTGTATAAATCACAAATGAGCCCACTGGTCTCATTTGTTTATATCCTTCTCCCTGAGAGCGCTCCAAGGCAAGGATCAAGTTCAGCACCAGGTATTGACCCCACTACTTCACCCGCCGTCATCAGGACAACAGCTATAAGGCTGTCCTGGCCCTCCCCGGATTTCTTTTTCTATCAAACAGCCTTACTGGCCAGATAAGTGGGAGACGAGAGAGGCGCTACGGCAATCGGCCAAGCGAAGAAAATATATGAGATAATCACGTAATTGTAATCAGGGGTGCCCATCTCCCCCAAGGTCGATGGTGCATAAATCCCTCCCACTCCAAAAATTGTATTTCCCACCTCTTCTTAAAACACTGCCAGCGAAAGTATAATTACAAAAATTGTAACAAATAAATACACTAGTTTTTTTTTTTTTCTGTTCTTCCCTATCTCACCTTTTAGGCTATACGGGATTTTCACGGGCCTGAGGGTGAGGGCGGGGAATTTAAAACCCCCTCAGGCATCGGAACGCGAATTCGTACTTTTTTTTTTAATCTCATATTCAGGTCATCTGGTTGCCGGCTAACTCGCGGTGATGTGCACACGCGTTATCCCATGCGGCCACGCCGCCCCATAATAATTACACAAGTTGTGTCTGTCCCATATTTTCCATCTAGTTCTCTATTTTAAAGCTTTTCATTCTGAAAATTTATAACTCCGTTAATTATAAACTCGGATACACGAGCAAATACATAATAAGATCTACAACACTACTGAGACATGAGCAACTGCTCTGCTGCTTACTACTAAGACTATATATAGTGGCGGGGAGAAGTTGCTGATACTGCAATGCAATATTAGGGTAAATGGAGTCTAACTGTCAAAATTTGGCCCCCCCCCCCCTCAAAAACTTAGATGGCGCAACTTACGCCATGGAACCCTCTTTGGGGCACCCCTGATTGTAATGAGGCTAGACCTTTTAGGTATGTCATAATTATATTTCTGATTTGACATATACAACTAAAATCGATTACCTCTTCAGTGATATTGGTTTAATCAATAAACAAAATGAATAGAATTAATAATATTAAAGTTTCGAATCATTCAAAAATATTCTCCACAGTATTCTGGAACTTTATTATATTTACTCAAAAAAAAGGACTTCCCATAAAATGACATGTACCGGGTACCCCTATTATTGTACATATGGTGCCCTGGGTGGAGAATATTTGTGAATGAAAATATTATTAACTTCCGCCCATCATTTTCAGTGATTTATTTCATTCAATTTTTTACGCTAAATAAAAGTCATTAAGATATTTAATTATGATCTCAATACTAATAGTATCTATTAACGCCAATGTTATGTCTGAAATATATAAGATTGGTAGGTTGGTTTCCTTTTCCAACAACATTGGCGATACGTAATTTCTTTATACGACAAGAAATGTTATGCTTACTTCAGACTGAATTTCGATGACTGTCTTTTTATTACGTAAGTCTCCAGCATCTAAATAGTTTGAATCGAGAACTCATTTTATGATTGACACCAGCGGATCC